GCACATAGGTAGAGTAAACTTATAAAATTATAGTGGATAAAACAAAATATCTATATGGCACACACCTTTGCAATTCCAACTGATGATTTATCCTGATTTCGCTTGCATTTCTTAGCCGGTTTTCGATTATGATCCGGATTTTGCGCATTACCCGATCTGGTTCTCTTCTTCAAACACACATATAATTGCGCGCGCGCACACACACACACAAAAAAACATCTTTAAATTTTTGTTAAAATCATAAGAAACAAAATTTTGTAATTGTTTGCATGCAAAACAAATTAGAAATGAGAGACTTACGTTTGATGATTTATCGACCGTACAAGCGTCAATGCATAAAGGGTCAGGAACAGAGACTCCAGAAGGAAAAGAAGGTTCCAAGATGAGTGATTCGTCGTCGTTTTGATAGCCTCCACTGAAACAGAGCATTCTTGACCCATTCTTGCCGGAGAAAACGAAACCAAAGCTGTCTTCTCCACCGTCGCCGCCATTATCCTCACGACGGTGGTCGGAGGAGCTGAGAACGTCGTCCGACAGCATAAGAAGCTCGGAGAAGCTCGTGACTCCGGCAGCTTCCACCGTAGCTCCGTCGTCTTGATTCTCTAAGGTATCTCCCATGCTGAATTTTGTTTGATTTTTCGTGGATGAGGTTTGTTTGAGAAAGAAAACGAGAGAAAGTGAAAAACATTAACCAGAAGAAACTTTTTTGTTAAATGTTTTCTCTCTTCACCTTTTTAGGCTTTATATAACTAGTTAATTTGTCTCGTGGCTCATGTATTTATAAATAAAACAAAATAGTTTATTTTTATTAAACAAAAGATGATTCTTTCTTGATAACAGTATTAAATTTCTATAGGTTGCAAATATATTTAGAATACATGACAATTTGCTAGAAATATACTGTACTAGTCAAGAAAACATGTTCTTATCATTCAAGAAAACTCTTTGCGTATAAATTTTACATAATTGAGAAATGTTGATGGCTTGATGCATTCATTAAGGGAGGGGTAAAAAGGGAATTTAAGAAATTTGAAGGAGAAATTCGGTCAAAGCCACCTGGCCCGAGAAAACTGTAGTTTTGATTTACTCGAAGCTGATGTTTAGTAACTGCTG